TGGCCCTGAATCGTGTGCCTTTGGGATTACAGCGCAGCTCCCTGCAATCAGGCCACCAGAGCCACCTAGATGGTGGTAATATACTGCAGTGGTCCAGGAAACTAAGAGAACATTCAGTCTTGGATGATAAAATATTCACAACTTCAGTTTCACCACAGAAAGCTGTGCATTTTACTCTTATCAGCTGTAAGGGAGTTCCTACTGATCAAGCGAGGCTGGAAAACTTACTCTCCAGTCTGTTGTGTGAGACTATAGCTTATTGTAGTCTTTTTTTTTAGGGAGGAGGGGGAGTTAAAAGCCTTTAATTCAGATTAATAACAAAATACAGTCAAGGCAGCTAGCTCCCAGAATGTGCACATAAGCACTTCAGCCTTGAGCCTTGTGACTCTAAGTGTTCTCAAGTTCTCAGTCTTGCCCATATTGGCTCCCCTCATCCCCAAACCCCATTTTACATCCCATTCTCCAGTTCAGTCATCACTGCTGCCGCCATCCCAAAGTGTGTCCTACATTCCACTGGCCTGGGAGGTCTTTTTTCTGGAAAGATGAAGAATTCCAGCTCTTCTGGTGCAAGAAGAGTTCCTTCTGGTGGGGGAAGAATTCCTCAGTGTATTGTAGTCTCCTGTTTACTTCCCTGGTTAACAAGGAAGCTGTACATCTTTTCCAATGTTTATTGGCCATTTTTCCCCCCAATTCAATGTGTGAGCTGCACATTTTGTTCTGGTATTAATTAGTTCTTTATATAGCTTGTTTGCTAGTTTTTGTCAGTTACAGATCTTGAAATTTCTCTTTGTGATCATCTCTTTGATATAGTTATTAATGTGGTTGAACGTAGCAATGTTTTGTTTATGATTGATGCTTCTAGTGTCTTTGAGAAATTTCATTCTACACAGAAGGCCTAAGGTATTTCCTTGAAAAAATATATATATTATTAATTTTTGGTGTTGGTGCTGAGCATTTTCCTGTTTTGTAAGTAAAAGCCTGTATGTATTTAAACTTCTAAGTCTTTGATCCCTCTGGAATTAATTTCATGCATGGTGTAGGGTAAAGGGATTAATTTATACCTTCTCCCCATTCAAATAATCAAGTGTCTCCTAAATTCCCATCTATGAAAAAAAGGTATCTTTTTTCCAATGATCAACAGCATCTTTCCCCCCCATCCTGTGGAAAAACTTATTTAAAATTTGGAATGGCCGTTGATAAAAATTTTGTCAGAAAGTTTACCTACTAGTTTAATGTATTATATAAATTAAA